TATTGTGGTAAAATATATATAACATAAAATTTGCCATTTTCATAATGCTTTAGTGTGCTATTCAGTGACATTTATTACATTCACAAATTTGTGCAACCATCCGTCATCTATTTCCAAATTACCTATCTATTTCCATTACCCCAAATAGAAATTCTGTGCCTATAATAAATAACTCCCTCTGTTCTCCTCCCCCGAGATCCTTGAATGAATAAATAAAATGTAGTGTGTACATACAATGGAATATTACTCAGTATAAAAAAGGAATAAAATTCTAACATAAACTATAGCATGGATAAATCTTGAAAACTATGTTGAGGGAAATACATCAGTCACAAAAGGACAAATATGATAGGATTCCACTTTTCTGAAATATCTGGAGTTGATTAGAGGTTACCCAGGTTGCATCTACACTCAATTTTTATTGTTTATCTTTTTCCATCAATACCATCCTCTGTGCTATCAAAAGAATTAGAAATGCAGTTTTCTGTGGGGGGGGCAGGGAGAATCTGTTTCTCTGTTGGCTCTGAGAATTTCTTGCAAACTGCTATAAATTTCAATGCTAGTGCTTTCTTTCTTATTTATTTATTTATTTTGCTAGTGCTTTCTTGATCTCAATTTTATACAGGCTCAGGCAATAATAACAATGTCATGACTAATTCCTGGACACGCAGTTGTAAGATGTCATCCTGATTCCAGAGATGACAAATTATGAAAAAAAAGAAAGTAGCATCTTAGAATTGATCAAATATAACTTACTCTCTTCATCTATGGGAGACAACATTCTCATTATTACCTAAAATTTACTGTGTCTCAATGTGATTCTTGACTGACTTTTTGTTTCTAATTCTTTATTATAGGCAGTATACAAATAACTCCCAAGGATTCTCGTTGGGTTGGTGCTTGGTGGCTTGGTTTCCTTGTGGCTGGCCTGTTTTCCATTATGTCTTCCATACCATTCTTTTTTCTTCCCAAAAGTCTGAATAAACCACAGGAGGAAAGGAAAGTTTCAATATCTTCTCAAGCTTCCAAAACAAATAAGGAAATGAAGTTAACTGGCAAATTAACCAAATATGAGCAAAAAGTTACTGAAAATGTGACTGGTAAGTATTTCATAGTTTTACTTAACTTGGAATTGTCAATCCCAGTGAAATGGAGGAATAAATATTCCGAAATGATAATTCATACCCAAATGATCTGAGTTAGCTTTCTTCTAGAATAAATTTAGCTAAATTATTTTGCTAAAACTTCTATTGAAATTAGTAAATATTTCCTGACCACATATGAATGGTCTGAAGGGAAGAGGATTAGGAACGCAGTCTTTAGCAGGGAGAAGTCAAACAAAAACTAAAAACATCTGGTACTTATAAATAAAAGAGTGCATTTTAATTTCAAAATTAGGTAGCATAAACTATGAGGGTGAAAGTGACTGTAATTTTTCATTCATTCCTTTCTTAATTCATTCAACAAATGTTATCAAGCACCCTGGAGATAGAACATTGACTCTGTTTGACAAAATTTTAAAATCTGCTGGATGTCAATAGGCGATTGCAATGCAGTGTTTTAAATAATATGGTAATGTTAAATATAAGGAAATGATTACGTATAGGTTGGGCAACTTAACTTCTCAAAGTGGAGAAATTGGGTAGGAAGAAAGGAAGTCAAAGGAGATTTCTCTCTAGATGATTAGAATAAAATTATTTTCTTAGGGATTATATAGAAAAACATATTGCTTAACTAAATATCCAAAACTGAAGTGGAAGTAAGAGTGGTAGTTAAAACTATTGGAGTCTGTCATGTGAATAAGGATTCTTTGCCATATTCTAGTGTCTTCTCTTTCACTTATGAACCCTGGGGGCTAATGGAGAAACAGTGAGGAGTGACAATTTGTAGAATGATTCAGCAGCAGCAAAAGAAAGATAGTTGACACAATGAGGTGTTTACAGCAGCAGTTTTAAAATTTAGGAGCAAAAGAATGGTAAAATGCTAAAAGCAAAGTAATGCCTAAACTGTTGCCAATCTTTTTAACAAGAAACATAAACATCATTTATATTATAAACTGTGTCTGTAGGCCAGAATAGTAAACCCCAGAAAACAAAATACCTACTACCATTGAGTTCATTCCAATTCATAGCTGCCATTTATGACAGAGTAGAACTAACTGCCCCCATAGGGTTTCCAAGACTGTAAATCTTTACAGAAGCACACTGCTTCATCATTCTCCCACAGAGCAGCTGGTGGCTTTGAACCATCAATGTTTTGGTTAGCAGCCTAATGCCTTAGTCACAGTGCCACCAGAGCTCCTTGCTGAAATTAAAGAGTCCTTAATTATGTGCCTTTTAGGAATGGATGAAATAATTAAGAGTGTTTATTAGGAAGAAGAAAAGATTCAATTTGTTCTATGTGCTCTTGAGCAGAATTAAGACAAATGGAGGTAGAAAGAAGTAAAAGAGGATTTCAATTCATTGCAAAGAGAATTCATAAACAATGAAACCTGTCCAAAATGGAATTGGTTGTTGTCTGGGCAGAAAGCTTCCTGTCATTTGAGTTTTTTACTAAGCCATTATTGACAATAATAGATGGTGGATCATGATTGTTTGGAAGTTCAGACTAGGTGACATCCAAGTTTCCACCCACCTCAAAGATTCAATGATTTGGTGGAAGCCATATGCTCTGTTTCTTTTACTCAGAGGTAACAACTCATTGAACAATGTCTCACAAATTAAATAATCCTTCCTGATTGGAGAGTCCAATGGAGAGACATTCAGCATTTTGGTGTAAAAATTTTAAATGTTGTTTATTCCTGCTATAAATTTCCTTACTTTTTTTCACCTCCTTCTCTACTCTATCTGCTCTAACTATCTTTCTTTCATATTATAGAGAGATGAAACTATTTCATAGTTACCATTGGATGTAAGGCTTAATTCTGACATGTCTGATGGAAACCCTTAGAGATCTATACAGTGAAATCTTACACTATCCATACCATCTCTCTCTCAATAACCATATCTTGTTCTATCTGGCTGGAATCTTACTCTGATTCTTTCTACTGTTTTTCTAAGTAATTCTTTCCACTTTTAACTTCCACTACAGCTGGTTGAGGGAGCTCTGGTAGCATAGTGGCTAAGACACTTGCCTGCTCACCAGACGACTGGCGGTTCAAACCCACCAGCCACTCCTCGGAAGGAAGGTT